CAACTATTAACCACACCCTTTAAAAAAATGAAATATGACTAAACCGTATTCCATACTAAGCAAACTTGATCCTATGAAATTTTTTCCTTTCATCTTCCATCCAGTGCTGGATCTATGCGCAACATTTTCTGTCGTGAGTTAAAAATAGATTAGCTTTTCTTAGCTCTGCCGGTTATATTTTGATGACCGATTGTTGGATCCGTATATTACGTATATTGTTTACAGCGGGGGTAGGGGGTGGGGGGTGTGTAAATGGTGGAGGTTGGTGAGTCGCAAGTGTAAAGAATGGGTAAGTAGCTTTACATTGATGGGGAGGGGGTGGGGGTTGGCATTGAATTTCGGTGATGTAAGTTATGTGATCCACATAATTATCTAGAGGAAGTGGGGAGGAGGGTATAGGTTGAGGGGGGGGGGGGGGGTGACTGGCTTCGGGTGGGGTCGGTAACATCACCCACATTGTGTAGGTTGATGGGGAGGGGGGTGTAGGTTGTGTGGGAGGGGGAAGTGGCTGTGGCTATGGCTTTGGGTGGGGTCAGTAACGTCACCCACATTGTACGTTGCCATTCCTAAGCCTTTCTAAAATTCGTATACTCTGCTAATCAGAGTTTCTTTCAGGCTTTAGCAAAAAGTAATTTAAGAGCAAAATAATCTGGATGAATTTTTTTCTAAATTATTCTAATTAAATTTGTACTAAAATAAATAAGAACAAAATGTACTTGTCGAAATTAAAAAAAAAATGGATGTTTGCGTAGGCACTAGGGGGGGGGGGGACGACTCGGTACCCCCCCCCCCCCCCTTAGTTCTTGGTACTCCAGTCTGTGTACTATGGTCTGGTTCCCTGCTTTGATTAGGGCACTTAGTCCAGACTAGCCATCGGCTCAACTTATTATAAGCCGTTGCTAGGGCAACAAGTCCCATAACCCCAGAAGACTTATCTCCACTTGGTTTCTATTTCTGCTCATTAGCGTGTAGAGACGTACCCACTTGTCCAGTTCTGTTTATGTGGAGGGGTTTACTGGGCAAACTAGGGGCTAACCAGTGGTAAACCAGGGGCTAATCATAAGCAAGCTAGGGGCTAACTAGGAACAAACTAGTGGCTAATTAAAAGGCAAACGAGGGACAAACAAGGGGCAAATCAGGGGCAAACTAGGGGCAAACTAGGGGCTAATTAATGGGCAAACTAGGGACAAACAAGGGGCAAACTAGAGACTAACCAGTTATAAACCAGGGGCTAATCATAAGCAAGCTAGGGGCAAATTAGGTGCAAACTAGGGGCTAACTAGTGGCTAATTAAAGGGCAAACTAGGGACAAACAAGGGGCAAATCAGGGGCAAACTAGGGGCAAACTAGGGGCTAATTAAAGGGTAAACTAGGGGCTAATTAAAGGGCAAACTATGGGCAAACTAGAGGCGAACCAGAGGTAGGGGAAGATCAAGCTTACGTGGAGCTTTTTGGTTTAATCCTAGCAGAGGCCCTAGGATAAAACTGAGGGGCCCTTGGCTGAAGCTAAACAGAGACCCCGTTCTTAAAAACTACCAGGGGCCCCTCGTTTGGCTATTATTTATATCACACGTGATGTGCTATCTTTTTGTTTTACTGCTATAAGAAGATTAGAAGGCAGTAGTAGACATTCGCATATGCACACATTTACACTAAAATATACAAACACATACACGCACATAAACACTTATACATTAAAACACAAACACACTCTTAAACTCTTAAGCACATATTAGCATATACATATATATGCAGAAACCCTCTTACACACGTACACACGCATTTACCCACAATCACGTACACACATATAGAAGCACACATACACACACACACTAGATACACACACACAGGGAATACACATTTTCACGAATCGCCAACACTGCATTTAAACGGGCAAACATTATTTTCTATTGAAATTTCGACCTTGAAAGATCCCAAGCCCGACGCCAGACAAAGTGCCAGACCCAGTTCCAGGCGCATGGATGTCCAGCATAGGCGCCAGTTGATGGAAAAATCGAAGGACAGTAGAGTGAGAGGGGGGGGGGGGAGGGGGGAGGATTTATGGATTAACGACGTAGATGGATATTTCCTTTTAGATTTGGTTAGTGCTGTGAATATAAAAGAGAAAGTCTTACATCTTACTTTTAAAATATGTTAAAATATGGACAGGGAATGTGGTGTATGAAGTATTTTACACGTATCGCTGTAAGTAGTATGAATAGGGTTAGGATTAGGGTTAGTTTCAGTGATAGTGTTAGAGATAAAGTTACGGTAAAGTGTATATCAAAAACTAAAAAAATAAAACTAAAAAAAAAAAATAATAATTAACCAGCATTGTATACGTCTTGCTATTGTTTAGTTACGTACAGTTGATAGTGCTGGTGTTTTTAGAGTCGAATCAACGGCTTTTTTTTAGTCAACGTGATGGTGTGGTCGACTGTTACCCCGAAGGTCTCGAGTTCAGATCTTAGTTTAGACTCGTGACTACAAAAAGTCCCCCCCCCCCTGCCTATCTGATGGGTAACTGACTTGCTTTACGGAAACAAAAGGGGCTGGGCATAGTGTCGACTATACTATCACTGTATGTACTGAGGTCGTTGAAACAGATGAACTCTGCTTCATCTGCCCCATATGTTTTGGGAAACAGGAACGGGAAAAGATTATAATGACTCAGTAAAAGTAAACTAAAGGAAGAAGAAAACATAGGTTTTTGTATGAGTGATATAAATGGTAATTGGAATAGGTGGTAATCGGTATAGGTGGTAAATAGTATAAGTATGGCAGTAAGGACTAACATAGGTTTGTATCCGGCACAAATAATGCCACCAACTATAATAAACATTACCTTAATTACTGATTTGTTATCATGAAACACCTGTTGCATCATGTTGATTAATTTCATTTTAACTAATTATTTTTGCTTAATCATAACTGACTGTTGAGATTGACAATTAAAATATTTTGACTTCCTCGGGCAAAACACGGAAATATATTTTTGATGGGTGAATCTCTTGATGTTCAATTAAAATTTAAAGAGAAGAGATCAAACGATGAAAATTTTGCTTTAGACATATGTTACATGCGGCGGGTTTTTAAAATTTTTAATTAAAAGTTCGGCAGAGATTTTTCCTTTTTGTAGCAGCAACACTGGATTAAGACAAAAGGAAAAAAAATCATTTATATTGTTTTCTAAAAGCGTTTGATTAAGATAATGGAAAATTCTCGTCTACATTTTTTCTGGTAGCATTAGATTATTGACAATGGAAATATTTCGTTTAGATTTTTAAACGGCGCTAACTAGTATTGAAAAGTTGACTTAGAACTTGACTTAAATTAATTTACTTTGTTATTATTTTATCGGAGACGCTTAGACCAATAATTTTTGTTAATTAATTGCGTCTCACTGAAGACATACCGATGCAGAAATCAGGAGATATTTCATTTTAAGATTTAACTATTTGATGGGGACGTGTAGGTGTGTTATAGTAAGTAAAACTATCTTTTATGAGCATAGACCAGGTGAAGTAGAGTTCATCTGTTTCTCTAAGCCCAAAAAATGAAATGAAGAGGTCAGGTACAGATCAGACAGTTAGACTAAGGAACGCGCACATTACTGACTCGGGGACCCATGTGTGATGGTTGCACAAAAGAACGGCAACCCTACTGACTCGAGACAACCAGAGACGTTGCTAAGGGAGAGTGGGTGGAGTGGCCGCCCCGGGCGCCGAAATAGGTCGCTACGCCTCTGGAGACTACACTTTAAGCTTGAATGGATTTCGACGCAATGTCAAATCAAACTCTATATCCGCATTGGTTAATTTTGGGTGAGTAAATAAGTACTGTACCTGGTCGCTAATTATAGTGTAGACCTTAAGCCTTCATGATACTGTCGGACTTGTTTAGTAGTTTTATAAAATGAAGATAATTAATTATCTTTTAATAAGGGGTCATCCATAAATGACGTCAATCTTTTTTTTTGACAATTTTTACCCCCCGCCCCCTCACCTCCTTCACACATCGTCACAAAAAGCTTAGAACGATGTCACACCTCAGTCCACACCCCCCCCCCCCCTCCCCTCAAAATTACAGATGCATTTTTCTTAAAACATCGATATTTTTTCCAAAATCATGTCTGAACTCTGCCAACATAGAATATTTTAATCAATTTCTATTACAATTTATTAAAACAGTTTTCTAAAACGCTAAAATTCGTTTTCTAACATAGCTCTTTTATAATGCAACAGTGTGACGTCACATCATCTGAACACCCCTCCTCCCCCTCATCACACACCGTCACAAAATTACGACCCCCCCTATGAGTGTGACGTCATTTATGGACGACCCATAATCATATTTTTTTAAAAAAGAAATAAAATTAAAAATAATATTTAAAAATCACTTATTTTTATTATAATGGCGACACCTCTCACAAACTGAAACTCCCTCGAAAAATGAGCTTCAATGTTTGAGCATCATAACGATGGAAAAAAATAAAACCTTCGACAAAGAGCTGCGATTAAAGTGTCGAGTCGTCCGCTCTAGCCTAGCGTGAACGGAGATTGGCGAAGTAAACATCCGCTTTTAACTGCCGGAGAGCTATAAATAATTTATCGGAGTTTCCCGAACCGATGCGTAAAGACAAAATTCGTTGTAGCTAGTAAATATTGAAAAAAAATTCTATTTTTATGGTGTGGGTTAAATTATATGATGTAAAAATAATTTAAAAACAGACATTTGTTTTACTGTTAGTGGTATTAGACAAAACGCCGTTCCGAATTATTGATTTTTTACTTTTAAGCAACGGGCAGTCAAATTTGGGCCATTTAGCTTTCGTGAGGGGGGAAAAAAAATCCGCCTTCCACCGATAACCAAGAATTGTCGGCCCTTGGCAAAACACAGAATCTAGGTGAGCGGTGCTGTTGGAGGCAGGGAAGGGGGGGGGGGTGGGGATGGAGTGAGTCTGCGAGCGGTATGGCGTGCTCACACGTTTGAACGTGCCTGTATTTGTGGGTAGCCTACGTTACCTCCCTTAGGTTTCCCGCGAGCGGCGTGTACCTAGCGTTGAGTACACGGCGTGTAGTCGTCCGGTGTCTTGGCGTGAGTGTGTGTGCGCGCGCTAACACTGCAGCGGCCCGCGTGCTATTTTTAGATTGTGTTGTGATTTCTTCAAACCCTTGGATAAAATCTAAAGTTAGTATTGTGTTATAATGTTATAGGTAGTGGTATTGTATATTTTGAATATGTGGTGTTGGAGTTGTTTCAAATTTCGCCAACTGACAAGTTCGCTAATTCAGCTAAAAATAAATTTAAACCACATCGGAGTTATCTGCCCGTCAGTGTTGTATGATTTAAGTGAGCAGGGGTTCCCTAGTATTTAGCCACTACCACAACACTACACACCCCACTGATATTTTACCAAATTTCATCGCTATTTTTGTATGATGTTCGAGTGTTACATAAAAGTCATATATATTATTGGGGTTTTCTTTCAACCAGTCTAAAATAGACTCAAAATATGTGTGTTGGTACTTTTGTTACCTCAAGTTTAATGTTAGGGCTAGATTTAGGGTAAGAGCTACGGGGGGAACAGGTTAAATGTTGGGTTAGCATTGAGGATAACAGGTAATATTAGTTATAAATTGACTACAAATAACTAAAAATTCCATTGATTTTTAAAGCAAAGATAAATACCATCACTACCGTGTTATGGAACACATTATAATTTCTTCACATCAGAGGCGTAGCGAAGGGGGGGGGTGCGGACCGCACCTGGTGACACCATTTAGAGGGGTGACACCAAGGCAAAAAATAGCAAAATATATAGAGAAAAATGATAATTCCACTTAATTAAGTGATTAATTCGAGTGTTAAATAGTCTTTTCAGAGGTGCAAATCGAAAGTTTGAGGGAGGGGGGGGGGGGGGGGGGTTACAAATCGAAAGTTTGAGAGGGGTGCAAATCGAAAGTTTGAGGGGGGGGGGGTGCAAATCGAAAATTGAAAGTTTGTCCCCGGGAAGGGTCGCTACGCCTCTTGGGGGTGACACCATTAAGTGCTGCACCGGGTGACACCCGACCTCGCTACGCCACTGCTTCACATTGTTTACAGTATTGGTTGTAAACAAAACTGTTAAGTAGGCTCATATAACCATTCGGGCCGGTTAATGGGTGTGGGGGAGGGTGGTTAGACATTTGTAACAATATTCTTTGTGAGAGACTTTTGGGTTCAATATTTTTTTATATAACTGTAGCATTTGCATTTTTAAAAGAAAAAAAAAAACTTGACAAAAATGTGAAGATTAATTGAAGATTAAAATTATTTCATGTTGGGGTTAAGGTGAAACTGTAAGAAGACATCGTTCCATGTGTTTGTGTGCGGGTGTGTGTGTGTGTGTTGTGTGTGTGTGCGAGGGGGGGGGGAGGGGTGTTTAGCTTTTTTCAACGGGTGTTGACTGTATAGACAATTCCACCCTCCCGAGTGGTATTTCATTATTTCATCGTATTACATTTTTTTTAAAAATGGCTAACATGAAAAAAAAGGCCTCAGTGCCTACTGTTGTTAAAGTTACTGAATAAATTTCCATTAAGTTGAATATTATATCTTTGAGAACTACTGTTTACAAAAATAAAAATAAAACATTTGTGGCTAGAGTTTATTCTATTTGTGATAGCAATGATATACGTGATATGAAATCATAAACTCCGAGCAAACATGCACTGGCATGCATGGCGCAGACGCCTAAGTCTGGCGTTGTTTAGCTGACCAGAATGTTCTGGCTCTACCTGCATAAGTGTCAACACTTGGTCTGTTTCACGTCCAGTGGCGTAGCTACGGTGTTTTGTCTGGGGGGTGGGGGGTGGGGGTGGAAGGGGGGCACATGAAATCACAACAATGTTGCTTAGGGACTTTGTTGAAATATAGTAACTAGTAGGGGCCTGGTGCTAGTTTGAAGGGCTTGGTGCTATTTTGTAAGGGGCTTGGTGTTATTTTGAAAGGGGCTTGGTGTTATTTTGTAAGGGGTTTGTGCTATTTTGTAAGGGGCTTGGTGCTATTTTGTAAGGGCTTGGTGCTATTTTGTAAGGGCTTGGTGATAATTTGTAGGGGCTTAGTGCCAATTTGCTATGGAGTTGGTGCTAGCCATTGCGGCAACGGGTCGACCAGGTTGGTCCGAAACTTAGTCTACTTTCTAGATGGTGGGGTCCAAGTGAGGGATTGAGAGGTGTAGAGACGGAGAGATAGTGAGATAGAGAAAGATCGAGAGACAGAAATATAGAGAGACAGAGAGAACGAGAGATAATAGGACGGAGAGATAGAGGGACAGATAGAAAGAGAGATAGAGAGGCAGAGAGTCGGCAAGACAGAAATACATAGAGACAGAGAGATAGAGAGACGGAGAGACATACAGACGGAGAGATAGAGGGACAGAGAGATAGATAAACAGAGAGACGGAGAGACAGAGAGACAGAAACAGAGAGATAGAGAGACATATATAATGAGAGATAGATAGACGGAGAGACAGAGAGACAAAGAGATAAAGAGACACAGAGCGATAGAGAGCGAGCTATTGGTAGACAACCTAGAGAGTGAGGGAGATAAGAAGGAAAGTGAGTGCAGAAAGATCACGTTGATTTTGTAATATTGAGGATATTTGGGAGCCTGGGATAATTAGAATAATGATAGCATGTAACATGAGGATATTTGAGAGACTGTGATAATAAGGATATTTGGTGGCAATTGTAAGAAAAAGTTCTGCTAAATATGCAGAAATGCTGAGAGAGTAAATAGTTATGTTGAGAAAAAGTATTTTTTGTTTAAATGTTGAATTACCATAAGCGATATCTGCAGAAATGTTGACCAGCCATACAGCCATAGTTTTAGTTAATTTAAAATCCTGTAAGTCATGGCTGCAGAAATGTTGCATGTTTAGAAAGTTGTTATTCACTGGTTTGTGGAGTTTAGCTTGTTTCTACGTGGTGTAGAAAAATTAGCCGTTGTGAGTCGGTGTAGAAAGTTTAGTTGTTGAAAAGTGGTTGTAGAAAGTTTAGTTCTAAGTTGGTGTAGGAAATTTAGTTGTTGTAAGTTGGTGTAGGAGGTTTAGTTGTAAGTTGGTATAAAAGTTTAGTTGTTGTAAGTTGGTATAAAAAGTGTAGTTGTTCTGACTTGGTATAGAAAGTTTAGCAGTTGTAACGTGATGTAGAAAGTTTAGCTTTTGTAACGTAGCGTAGAAAGTTTAGCTGTGTTAATGTTGCATCTCGGGATCGACACGAGACAACACTACGGTGAGTAAAAAATCATTCATCTTTCGCCTATTTTAATAAATTCTTTTTTTTTACTGTTAATCAGAAACTATTTCCTCTATTTATTTGTCTCCTATACTGTAAAAAAAAAACCGACATGTCTTAACCGTCATTTCTCACAAACATCATTTGCTACCAATGTTAAATTTTTAATTTTCCACCTAATTTAAAAATGCATTTATTATTTCTTTATCCACACTTTGCCTTGTTAATAATTGCTACTTTCCACCCTTTTTATGCTAAATACCACCTCTTTTTATCTTTAATTTACCACACACATATTTTTGTCTGTAGTATGTGAACATATTATCTGTTACCAAAGTTCTATCGTTACCTCCAACCAACTCCTTAATGACTTAAGTCCCTTGACAAATGAAATGACCAAATTACAGCAAAGGGGAATAATTCAACACACTATTGTAAATAAGTTTTGGTGACCCCCTTCTCATTAACCCGGCCCACGTGACTCCATTACAGCAGGTCAACGACTCGCGCCTAATTAACCCGTTTATCATTAAGCCAGCACACAAAATGCATGGGTTGTTTATTTAATTTCCTAACACAATAGGGCAGTGTTTGATCCTTTAGAATAACAGACACACTTTTGATACATTCCTTAGCACAGAAGGGCATTGTTGTTATATTATCAGGCATAGAAAGGCATTATTTTATATGTACCATTTTTATAGAAGACATTTAATAATATATTCCTTGGTATAACAGGATATTGTTTTTTGTTTTCCTTAGTATGGAAGGGCATAGGTTAATATATTTATTAGTAAAAAGGGCATTATTTTATAAATTCCTTAGTAAAGAAGGGCATTGTTTAATACATTCCTTAGCATAAAGGGGCATTGCTTTTTTTAAATTCCTTAGTATAGAAGGCATTATTTTGAAAACATTATTATATAAAAGGGCATTCCTTAGTAAAGAAGAACATTGTTTTTAGCATTCCTTTCTATTTAGTGGGCATTGTTGATACACTGAAAGTATATAATTGCATTTTTTATATTCTCAATTATTAACACAAATTAGTGTTTAGTTGATACATTGAAATAATACCCAGTGTATAAGTAAAGTGTTGATTCAAATCAAACACTACGGCATTCAGGTCATGGAATTGTTCGGATAACATATGGGATTACACAGTGGCGTAGCCAGGATCGTCTCAAGGGGGGGGGGGGGGGGGTTCCAATTTTTACTCGGGGACAAACTTTCGATTTGCACCCCCTCAAACTTTCGATTTGCACCCCCCTCATACTTTTTATATATATACCGAGGGGTCTATGGGGGGGGGGGTTATGACCCCACCCCTAACCCCCCCCCCTGACTACGCCACTGGGATTACATATGTTGGATTTACATCTCCCAAACAGTGAAATCTGGCAATCTGAGCACATATTCATCGATATTTAGTTAACCTTGACACAGGGTTTTTTTGTTCACTATATTTGAGATGAGACTATCACTACTTTAACCATAGAGGTTTCATTAATTGTGCTTTATCACTTCTCTAACTTTGATAATCGTACCATAAATAAAGTTTAAACCTTTAGCACTTTATGATCAAAAGAGAGTATATTCACACATTTTATAATCGAACCCCACCCAACCCCATTCTTACAAGACACCAGATACCCTCCACCCCCTCTAAGGTAAATGACTTTTTAAAGTTTCTTTCCATCTTAAGATAACCCCATAACTTTAACATCAAGTAACTCACTATTCTTCTTCTTAGCCGCCTTTACTTTCTCTAACCTGAGTCAGGTACCCATGAGAGCTGAGTGGACTCAAGGACGTCTTACACACTTGAACCCATAATCCGAACTCTAGGCTATCTGGTTTATAGACGTGAATTCGTCATAATTTACAAAATAATATTTACATCATACCTAG